AAGCCTCTGCAAAATTTCCCAAAGTATGGGGTTTGGAGAGCTTCTGGGTTGATGAACACATGTACATGTTGGGAGTGTGGTGTACCCCATCTTCCATGGGAACAGAAACTTCTGCGCTTGGGACCCTTCTAGACCTTCCTCTATGTATCTCTTCATCTGTATCCTTTACCATACTCTTTATCATAAAATAAACTGGTACACTTAAGTGTTTCCCTCAGTTCTGTGAACTGTTCTAGCAAACAATCAAACCCAAGGTTGGGGTGGGGTGGGTTATGGGAACCTCTAATTTGTAGCCAAGTTGGACAGAAGTCGTGGGTAACCTGGGGACCCACTACTTGTGATTGGCATCTGAAGTGGGGGACAGTCTTGTGGGACCAAGGCCTTAACCTGTGGGGTCTGCATTAATTTCAGTTAGTGTCAGAACTGAATTAAAATGTAGGACACCCAGCTGGTGTCAGAGAATTGCTTGGTGTAGGGAAAAAACCCAGACACACCTGGTGTCAGAAGTGCTGTTGAGTGTGGTAGTTGTGTGAGAGGGAAAGAGAAACACCCTGGAGATGTCAGTTTCTCCTAAACAGTTACGTAAATACTGTATAATCCCATTTATATAATACTCTTAAAAGGACAAGAATTATAGTGATGGAGAAAGGATCAGTGGCTCAGGGGTTAGGGTTAGAGGGAGGATGTGATTATTAAGGAGTAGCATGAGGGGTGACAGAGCACTTCTATATCCTGATTATGGTGCTTATACACTTCCATACATGTGATAAAATTTCCTAGAAACACACACACACACACACACACACACACACAAACTGGTGAAAATTGAATAAGGCCTGCAGTTAAGTGTTCCAATGTCAATTTCCTAGTTATGGTCATATAACAATATCATCACTGGGGGAAAGAATGGGGAAATGTACATGGGAATTTTGTACTGTTTTTGCCATTTCTTTTTCTAAATTTTTTGAAGATTTTATTTTTTATTTTTTAAGATTTTTATTTGTAAGTAATCTCTACACCCGACACGGGGCTCGAACCCACAACCCTGAGATCAAGTGTTGCATGCTCTACTGACTGAGCCGGCCAGGTGCTCCTGTTTTGCCACTTCTCTGTGAGTCTAAAATTATTTCAAAATAAAAAGTTTACAAGAAATCACTTCCACTCTACATGTTTGACTCTCCTGGGGGCTTCCTAATTCCAAATACCTTGAATCACTCACTGAGCCTCATCAGTTTTCCTTCCTTAAAATCTCAGTCTGTTTCTTTCCCACTTCCACCTTTACTCCCTGGGTGCAGGCCCCTGTTACCTCCTGACTGGACAGCCATAGCTTTTACCGGCTGTCTTTGCCCCCAGTGCTTGTACCCCCAACAGACAACCTACCTGCACACAGAAACCAAAGGAATTGTATGAGCTTACTGTTTGTACTGTATCATCACTCAAAAGCTTGCAGTAGCTTTTTACCACCTACACCCTAATATTTAAAGTCCTTAATTTGGCATTCTGGACTGTAGGTATTCTTCCCTCAAACCAGAATTTCCAGTCTACTACTGCACAATCCTTCAAAGAGCTGACTATTTAGGGTACTATACTAGTTTGCTTCCTGTCCCTACCCCCACATGCCCTGAACACTTGGTGATGCTTTGCCTATGCTCCCCTGGACCTCCCTGGAGCTCCAGATGACAGTGATCTGGGCCCATACTTCTGTGTTCATGTGATGCTTCTCCTCTGTGACTTCTTCGAGCTTGTCTTTCTGGGTGTTTATGTTGTATTCGTATTATCTGAAAACCCGTTTCGCAGCCTGACTATGCCTTTCTCTCTTTGGTGTGATAGATTTTTCCAAAATTCAAATTGACTAGTCTGATAGCAACACCCTTTTCATGTTTTATTCTAGTCAGTGTACGTTAGGGTCTACATATGAAGGCTACAAAGGGTGTGAAAAGAGCTCAGTCATCTATAAGGAAAGTACAATTTTAGTTGGTCTTATTTTTGCTGGAATGAATATTCATAGCAAACACCACGAATTTAGATAAAGGCGTTAAACATAGTATAATTTAACAATCATAAGGCATTCACATATTACTTGGTCTATTTACTCAAATTCTTTTTCGATATGACATGATTGAATAGGACATTTTCTTGTGGTTTTACCAAAGAAATAAATCTTTTTTTTTCTTTTGACACCCAGTCATGGTGTTATGACTTTGGGCACTCCTCACTAAAAGGACGTTCACCATCTTATTTCTTCACTTTGCAGTTATGCAGGAGTTTTTCATATATAAACTATAGCTTAAATTTAGTCTTTACAAAATTAACACCAATTACACCCACAGCAATGATTCATAAGTATACATGGACAAGTATTTAACTATAAGAAGCCTGTTTGCAACAGTTAGATAACATTCTTACGGAATTCCTCCATCTCCAGATGGCACCTAAGCAGTGAAGGTAAATTGTAGTTCAGACATGGCACATGATTCTGAGCTCAAATAGCCTTCTGGAACTTCTTCATTTAAGTTACTGACATTTTCTGTCTGTTATCTTTCTGATGCCAGAAATCTATTATGTATTAAGCTCAGATTATTTAGAATGAGAACTACAATCACTGCAGGGAGAAGGGTTTCCAAAAATAAATGTTAATCAGGATATGCATGGTAATGAGAGCCAAGTTTTCTAAAGGGTCTTAAAAATGACTAATATGGCTGCCATTTTCATTGTCCTTCGGCATTTAAACTAGCTTCTAATGAACAAAAGATCCCTATTATGGAGAAACTGAGACAGGCAAAGGAGAAATAGGAGTCCCCCCTACACTGGTCATTTCTGGGAGAAAAAAATACTAAGAATGTATCTAAGAATTGCTTACCTACTCTTTTCTGGGGAAATCAGGAATAACTAGAACCGAATATTTTAAGCCAAGAATAACTAGAGCTGTGTATCGGAGGGCTGAATGCAGATTTGATAAGTAATATTCTTTTTTTAAAAAAGATTTATTTATTTGAGAGAGAGGGAGGGAGGGAGGGGCAGAGGGAGAGGAAGACAGAGTCTTGAGGAGACTCCACACTGTCCCACAAGCTCAGAGTCCGACTTGGGGCTTGATCTCACAACCCTGAGACCAGGACCTGAGCCGAAACCAAGAGCTGGATGCTTAACCTACTGTACCACCCAGGCGCCCTGATAAGTAAAATTCTTGACGTAGACTCAGGATCCACTGGAATCTCAAAACTGTTCTCTAATATCATCATCCATGTCATTGCCACTAACATACATTATTAATCTACATTTTAATATACCTTATTATTTTTGCATAATTTCTAGGGAAGTAGCATGGTGTAATATAATGAACATTCATTTGTTTATTCATTAAATAGTAACTAATATTTATTGAGCACCTACTATATGCCGGACACTTTCTAGAGTGCTGGACGGAAGTGAACTGACAGCCCCAAATTCCCACTCTTCTGCAGCTTGTATTTTACAGAGGGTAAACAGACTACAAACAAGTAAAATACAGGTATGTCTTATGGTGACAAATGCTATGGAGAAAACTAAGGCAGGGAAGGGGGACTGGGAATACTGGTGGCAGGGGGCATTCCTTCTCCCTAATTTTATTTTTTTTAAAGATTTTATTTATTTATTTGACAGAGAGAGACACAGTGAGAGAGGGAACACAAGCAGGGAGAGTGGGAGAGGGAGAAGCAGGCTTTCCGCCGAGCAGGGAGCCCGATGCGGGGCTCGATCCCAGGACCCTGGGATCATGACCTGAGCCGAAGGCAGACGCTTAATGACTGAGCCACCCAGGCGCCCCTCCTTCTCCCTAATTTTAAACTGAGTGGACAGGAAAGCTCTTACTAAGAAGCTGACAGTTAAGCAAAGATCTGAAGGTGGTAAAGGAAGAAGCCATGACTATACCTGGAGAAGAGTGTTCTAGGCAAAGAGCATGATGAACACGGAGGCACTGAAGCCAGAATGTGCCTGCTGTCTGAGGAACCACAATGAGGCCAATATGTGGGGAACAGACTAAGAGGAGAGTAGTAGGGGATGAAATCAGAGATGTATTAGGGGGTGAGACTGCACACTGGGCTAAGAAAGAATCACTCTGGGGAGAGGCCTGGTCTGAAGATATAAATTCAGGACTCATCAGAATACAAATCACACTTAAGACCATTAAAACTAGATGAGGTCTCCAAGGGCCTGAGTGTGTGTGTGTGTGTGTGTGTGTGTGTGTGTGTGTGTGTGTGTGGAACAGAAACTGGAGGGGGTTGTAGGGTCAGGAGGTGTGTGTGTGTGTGTGTGTGTAATAAAAACAAATGGTAGCATATTAGATTCAACAGAGCCAGCAAAGTGATGATGCAGGAAAGGGATGCTGGAGTGATGTCCTTGAGTGAGTAAAAGACAGAGGATCTCACATGCAAAGGAAAGCATTGTGGTAGGCTCAATTAAAATCCTGGTTGCACTACGGACAACTTGCTGGAATTACTGAACTGCAGAATGTCTTAATCAAATAGTGCTGTTTCGCTCAAGTCCCATGTTACATTTTCCTTAATATTCACTCGCAAGATGGGATAGAGAAAGAATTTTAAAAATCGAGCTTCTTCCTAAAACAATAAATCCGTATCTAGTTATCTACTGAAACAAAAATAATGTTATGACCCATACAGTCACATCCCAAGGAAAGATCACAACTTTCTGTCATAAACACAGCAATACTTCCCTTGTTCTTGTTGCACAGCTTTGGGACATGTGTCGGTGGAGAACAAACATGCCTTCCTCCCTGCTATGTTCTGCCTTAATCTGCCTCTGTTCCCTCTGATGGCTGAATGTCACTAGAATGGTATATTCTCTCAGATATTTACAGAGGCTGTCCGGAAACAGCAAACAAGATGAACAAAACTCAAAAAAAGTGCTCAGAAAAGAGGTGGCAAGAGTCGCCCTCTAGAGCAATACACTGCTGTCGCTGGAAGCGTTCACACAAAGTGTAGATGGCCACCTGTGGGCTCCCGTACCTTAAGCCATGGGTGATTCAGTGCTTCATAAACAGTGATCCTTTCGGCTGGATCCAGCATCAGCATGCGACGGACTAGGTCTTTGGCACTTTCAGAGATATGGCTCCACTGCCTTGGATTCATCTGAAGAGAAGGAGAGGAAAATTCCATAGTTATTGTCCAGTGAGAAGTTAATATTCACTACGATGTAACATTCCTATGCTGTTTCAATGTGAATAAAATTCTCAAAGAACAGAAATCTGATTCTAAAGGCTTGCTTTCTAAGGAAGAGGACAAAGGCAAAAGTCTTTGGTGGTTGTTGCTCCCTCTATGAGATTTTACATCAGTAAATATCCCTTACATATGTTCTGTCACCTAAGTTATAATATTTTTAATAATTCAATAGAATGCTCATGACTGTAGTTTCTACCTTAGCTGAAGAGACTAGTACTTTGCTCTAAGAAAGGACTAAAATTAAATTTTTAAATTAAAAATTTTAAAGAAATTTTAAAACATTTTCTTTTTAAAAATTGGAATGTGCAGTAATTATGAAGTTATGCAAAGTTCTTAGTAGGATATTTTGGTCACTGTACATCAATTTCAGTATTTAGGAACAAATATACTGTTACCATAGGCCCTACAAAATAGCCAAATCACTTGTATATTGTCTTCAGTGAAGTTACTTTCGTTCTTCTTATAGAGATGAGACAACCAAGTCACAAGGTCAATTGACTAAAGTCAAACAAATGAACAAAAACTATGAGTTGTTCAAAAGACATAAGACTTGTGAGAAAGTGGATCTGGGAGGAAAAGAGTAAGACGGCTCCCAGGCAAAAGGGAATGTTTGAGACCAGGAAGCAGAAAAAAGGGAAGGGATGCTTAGGGTTTGCAGTTGGGGAGGTCAGTGGGGACAGGCAGGGAGGGACGAGTAGGGTTTCATTCCTTATTTAATATCAAGAAGCCGAATGATTGGGTGAATTTATGTGAGCTGCCTGGTGCCAGGAGCTAGCGATGCCATGGCTTGAGCCAGAGGAGACCTAGGTCACCTTCTAAGGGAGAAAGATGGAGAATAAAGTCCATCACAACTTAAAGTCAAATAAAATCACAGCTGTCATCAGTACACAGGAATCATTATAGTTGCCCAAGGGTTAGCATTAGACACTTTGCTCTGGCTATTGTGAGGCTCTATACTTGTAGATGGGGAATGAAATATGTTCCTTGTTCTTTTCCTAACAGGAAGAATCCCAAACAATAGTCACTTCTGCTTCTCAGATCTCTTAACTAAAGTGAGTGCCATACTGCCATCATACTATTAAAACTGTGATCAACTAGTCCGTTTGAAATAATGTGGGTGATTAGATGAGGCTTAGTCTTGCTCCCTCTTCCCCATCCTGGAGCTGATGTGCTCCTTAAAGTCGGAATGATCTGTCCTTGGGGAAAGGGGCTGAGAGGTCATCTGAAAGTGGTGGTAAGATTTCTGAGGTGAGTAGAGGTTGAGAAGTATATGCCCTCATCCTATTTATGAGGGAGTCTGATCCAGGCTTTTCCTCTTCCTTTGGCTGAAAGAGTAGCTGAAATTAATCTGGGAGGTTGAGTTTATAAGGGGAACAAAACAGGACAACAGAACACTCTCACTTCTTTGAATACTAAATCCATGGGTGCCTCGACTCCTGATGTGGAGCTACCAACTGGCTATGCATAACAAAGACAGAAGATGGCAATGCATCTTGTACATACTTTGAGAAATATATTTTTGTCTTTTATAAGAAAGTTCATTGATATTAAATGTTAGCATGTATTCCAGGCAAATAGTATTCTCAGCTATCTACCTGAAAAGATCAAGTAAGCTAGCAAATGAGAATAAAAAGTTAAATGAAAATCACGTAAGACCAGCAGTAGTTGATAAACTATGACAGTTTTTAAAAGATGCCATCAAGATTTTCTTGAAAATACCCCCAGAGATCAAGGATTTTGCTCATAGTTCTTAAGAACCACTGGGGTGATGAAATTATATTTTTGAGGTTGGCTTCAAGATAATCTGGTAGTATGTAGAATATAGATAAAACCAGGTTGGCTGGATGATGCTAAGTACTGAAGCTGGGGGTTCACTGTACTGTTATTTCTACTCTTTTTGTTTGTTTGAAATTTTCAGTAACAAAAAACTGTAAAAATAAATGCTGACAGAATCACAGCACAGTGTGTGTGTGTGTGATGTATACACACACACACACACACACACATATGTAAGGCCCACCAGGTTTATCATTGATGGTAGAGATGGATCTATACTTCAAACGAAGCTGCTGAAAACATGGGGCTTTTGTATTAAAAAAAAAAAAAAAAAGCCGTGAATCCAAGTGAGAGATAAGGCTAGCCAAGTAAAAGAGTAAATAAGTTATTAACCTCAAAGCTTCAAACCTCCAGGTGCAGAAATGATCATATAGCTGTCACGTCCATCTGACTTACTATAATACTAAAAATGGGGATTTTAAAATCATTTAATTTTTGGCATGTGTGAACAGTCCAAATTTCTTACAAGGAAACAAACAAAACTATCCAGTGCTTTAAAAATAGAGAAAATCAAATACCAGAGGCTGTTGGAACAAAGCACATTGTCTTGGAAACCAGGAAGTTAGCAACTGAACTAACACAAAGGAAGATTCTATTATTAGCAAATATATAGCTCCAAAAGGCAGGTGGGAGATTTTAATGTATGGTACCATGTCAGAAGTCACTGGGAGGATAAAATGAGTTCACAGGAGTGCTTAGCACAGTTCCTGGCACATACTAAGTGCTATGTATGAGGCAGCTATCATTATTATTATGCTGGTGCATGGCTAATTCTGTTTGTTTTCCTATGTTAAGTATCTGTGATTTCACTTGGCCAAATTCGACCAGAAAGCCATGGCCATGCATTCCTCAGAGCCACTCACAAACTTCCAGGGATTCGAGGGGGAAGACTACTTACAAGCAGTTTCCTGAGATATTTAGTTACCTTGGAAGGATTGATTTTATTCCCCAGTGGCCAACTGACTCTAAGAGAAGCAGAAAAACCTATATTTCAAACATCTTCCTCTGTTAACAGAGTTTGTCCAATCAAAATAAGAGGTAAACCTGCAGGCCCTTATAAGCTGGTGATGCACAAGCCTAAAAATGAAAAGTGTAACTCATTCTCACCTGCTCACCTCGACAAGTTTCACTTATGGTTTCAAAGGACAAGGCTACAACCCCGAAGCTACTTCACCTTTCATTTCTACCCCCTCCCTTTTCTTGAAGTCCCATATAAAATTCTAACATTAGGGAGGAAATGAAAAGAAAACTTAACAGGTCTCACAGTTTTGGAGTCTGGTGTTACCCGAACCTGTGTGTTTGGTTTTTATGCTGCCAGGCATGGCTGAAAATGAAACAGTGCTTCTCTTGAATAGAAAGTAGGGGTTTCAGTAATATGGGGCGGAAAAAGAACTTCCCCAACATAAGCTGTGCCGAGCTGGTATCCAGACACACACTCCCCCATGTTTCCCATATACAGCATTTGATTCTTCGGCCATACAGGATGGTATAGGGCCATGGAGTGTAAGAGCTGGGGCAGTGAGACCGACCTTAAGCTTATTTATTTCCAAGCATACCTTAGGTCTTTTTGGTATAGCCACTCATAGTGTCAGTGACGAATTTTTAATTTTTTAATAAGGAAAGTAATAATATGCTAATCACAAGTCTGTGAATAGTCCGTGCGGTTTCCAATCCACGGTAGCCAAAGAAGAATAGGAATGTTTAAGTCACACCAAAATGGCTCTAAATTATATTATGAGATGCAGTTGTGATCCTGGCATTTCAGTTTATCCTGGAATGTAAGTGGCAAATGTTTCAGCTGTGCTTGCTGACTACGTAAAATTGAACAACATGCGTGGCAAAGCAAAACAAATAAAGGCGGATACTAACTATAAAGAATTACTAAATCACTGGGATGAAATTTCCATTTTCACTTTACAAATTAAGCAAAAAGCTTTAAAAATGAAGCCCCTTCCTCAAATTACACAAAGAAGGGCCCAAGAAGTTTATTTTCCAGCTGAGCCTGAAGAGGAGGTTTGGTCACCACACAGAGAATGGATACTTTTAAACCTGGGCTCACATCTCTTGTGAACACCTCACCCAGGGTAAAATAAAAGGTCAAATTCTATTATAATAAATTCCAAGGGTCATTCCAAATTCTTTCCCTGAACTAGAATTTTATTTGAAATAAGTAGGGCACCGGCCAATTTCTTCGACCTAGCTAAATGGGCAGTTTTGCTAGAATGTATTGATGGTAAAAGGACTGGCTTTGTGAATCTGAGGGCCCATGACTCCTGAACTGTTGACTTGAACATACAGATACGGTATCAAAGAGGACTAGGGTCCCTGCTTTCCAGCCTAAACACAGGGTTGGGTTCCAAACACGTGGGACAGAGTTTGGCCGCAGCACAGAGGGAGGGGGAAGGCCCTGGTTGTTATAAAGCCAGTCTCCTGTCTTCTGCCTAGATGACAGTGCAGCTGATAGTGATTCAGAAATTTACTTGAGGCCCATACTGTCTCACAAGGCTAGGGGTTCAATGGTGTCAGCAAAGAACTTTTCTCTGACTGGGTAACTACATGACAATCAGGAAGTCCAGATAGTAACTTCATATTTTCCAGAGTAATTTAATCTCAATGTAAAAATAAAACATTCATAATATATTACCTTATATTTTCCTTTAATAATGCCTTCAAACAATCTTTCCTTGGTTCCATAAAAAGGCAAGCAACCACTTAGCAGGATAAAAAGGATCACGCCACAACCCCAGACATCTACAGGTTTTCCATAAGGCTCTCTTTTGACGACTTCTGGGGCCATAAAATGAGGTGTTCCAACACGTCCTACATTTAAAACAACAACATCAAGGAAAAATGTTTACATAAAATGGCCTCTTTTTTTTCTCATTTGAAAACTGAAAATAGAACAATAACAGTCTGAAGGAAAAGTTTAACAATATAAAGATTCTCTTACTACCTCCTCCCTCCTCCATAAAATCAAAAGGGGAAAAAAAAGCAGAAGGAAAAAATTATCTAATCACCTCTTCAAAATACTGAGCCCAGGATAGATACTTTGTCTTCTTCCTCTTTTTTTATTTAAAGATTTTATTTTTAAGTCATTTCTGCACCCAACATGGGGCTTGAACTCACAACCCTGAGATTAAGAGTCACATGCTCCACCACTGAGCCAGCCAAGCACCACGGTACTTTGTCTTTCTAATACTGGTACTGCCTATTTCATTAAGCAGGGTGCATGGTACTTACCTATTTCTTGTTTAATGAAGTTGTTTAAATTTTCTAATTTTCACGTTTGAAAATCACTAAAAATATAGAGTAGGGGCAGGGGTGGGAGGGCAGGAGAAGACATCCATGGAGAAAAAGACTATTTTTGACTGCCAAATGGAAAATCTCAAAGTAAATCTAAAGTGGAGAACTTTTATTTGGAATATGACTCAGAATCTGAAATCCTGTTCAACTGATTTTACGAATTGACTGTAGCAATTAAGAATGCTTAGTAATATTCTCTTCTATAGGATTTTTAAGCTTTCTCTGAATGTTAACATTTGGCAGGAACGACAGCAGACACAGGACATAAACCAAAGCAAAGTCATGAAGCTCCTCTCATTCAATCCCCTTTGGCCTCCATCTTCTTTAAAGAGTTTTCTCCCACCCCCACCCAACAATGTTGGCTTTCAGGAAAGAGTTTGATAGCAGTTATTTGCACACTGGTAATCATCTTTACCTCGGTATCCCTAAGGGAGTCTTTTCTTCTACTGTAGAAGGAAAGGTTGTGCCCTGTAGGGAAATAACCATGGAAGGGGCACTGCCCCAGACTCGGCAGCTCGTCTTGTGGGCAGGCCCCAGCCTTCTCCCTCCTTCCCCTACCCCTTCTCTCTCATCATACTGAGTCCAAGGTAATTGTTACTTTGAAGACTGCACAATACTTTACCTAGAGCTCAGAATTGTGGTTTAGAGTTAAAAAAAAAAAAAAAAGGCCTTACAGATCTCATCTAGCTAGAGAAAATATACCATAAGGTCCAGTTAGTGACTGTCAAAACTCGGTTGGGATGGAAGGATAAAGCAGCTCTTAGCTTGTGTACTGGGAATTGTGGTTTAGAGTTAAAAAAAAAAAAAAAAGGCCTTACAGATCTCATCTAGCTAGAGAAAATATACCATAAGGTCCAGTTAGTGACTGTCAAAACTCGGTTGGGATGGAAGGATAAAGCAGCTCTTAGCTTGTGTACTGGGGATATTCCTTTGCTTTGGATCATTATGGTTCCTCTCTTCCCACATAACAGAAAAGGTTAACTTTGGGGTTCAGAGAATGAAAATATTTTCATTTAAAATGTGCAGTAGAGCAGTGAAAACTGTACTGGTTAGAAGGGAAGATTTTTATTCCCCATTGCCCCATTTTGCTTCCTCTGGTAACACAAAGAAGCTCAAACGATGAGAGCTAAGCCTCGTACTTCATTAACAGCCTTTGTCAGGGCAGGGCCGCTGGAGAATTCGCCTCGTGCTGACGGCAGGAGATCAAGGTACCGGTGAGGGTGCGGGTACCATGGCACCAGTCTGGTACCTTCTTATAGGTGGGATGATGTTTTGCAACTCAACTTGACTCCTATCACTTCCTACACAAGAGCGAGCCGAGCAACTCAAAAAGGAGCTTCTCTCCATTTATCTGTATCGAAGACTACTCCATTCTGGAGAATAAGTGTTAATCCTTAAGGAACATACAGGTCTTATGGTTCAAAAATTTGCTCAGGGATGATGGAGGAAAGAATATATAGGAATGAGCTTTTTACAGTATTTTGTGCAGATCAGTCAAATGTAAAGGACTAGAGTTAACCTTTAATGTATACCAACCTTCCTGGACTCCTTGTTTGTGATAGCTTGACTTTTCCTTCTTGGTGGTCACTTGATTTTTATGACTTTGACTTCCTGTTCTTAGAATTTTGTGGTCAATTACCAAACCATATTAAATGTCACTGTGTATGACATACTTCAGATATACACTTAAATATTTAAATGTTAGACTTTGGAATAATATAGTAAGACCTCTCTACCTAGGTCTTACCTGAGGTTAGAACCTGAGGTAAGGAGCGGCTTTGAATAGCTAGGACTTGAATCTTTACACACCCAAAGCTTTTTAAATAATTTTGGATGGTTATTGTTCTACACAATTTTCTGACTTCTTTTACGTAAGATGCTGCACATAATGCAACCTTTTCTTGATGACTCAAGATGATTGTCTTGTGGCTATCAATGAAAGAACTATGCTACAGAACAGAAAATGCCCTCAGGAACTTCAGAGGTAAGCAAGGGTTGAGTTCTTCAGTATTAAAAGGGGGCTGTGCTTTCTACATTTTGGTATCTGCTCAACATATTTTTTCTGCCAGGCTTTTGTGTCTTTTCTCTCACTGTGCTTCCTCTAGCCTTGTCTTCTCCTAATTTGTTGCATAAAATCTGCTATTAACCAGAAACTGATTAGCAAGCAGGTTCTTTCATTTAGAAACAATTTCCCAAGTGCCTGCTTGGGTCCTAGACACAGTGGGAGGTGCTGTGGACATACAGAAGGATAAGCCGTGATGCCTCTTGTCCTCATAAAGCTCAGTCTTTGATACGATTACAAATCCCTGCATCAAATACTACATGGAGGTATGTAGCCCAGATAGTTACGGTAATATGGAAGAGAAGGAATAGGATTATCTAACTTGGGATGGTGAAGATCAGCTTGCTTTTAAGAGGGGAGGTTTGTCAGCTCAGTCTCTCAACCTTCAGGAGCAGTAAGAGTTAAATAGATAGTGAAAATGACAAAAGGTATTCCAACCAGACGGAGTAGCAGGTGCCAGGTATGAAGGCACATGAAACCATAAAACTATGGAAAATGGCAGCATGCCAGCTTCAAAGAGTATGCTCTTGGGATGCCCATTTGAGAGGCCCATGAATGGGTATTAAGGTCAAGAAATGTCTGGCTGCAAAAATAATTTTTTTTGTAGGATCCTAGTTATCTTCTGCATAGATGAGTTTTCCAAATAGCGGAATTTCAGGTAGGTTAAGTGCAAATACATGTAAGTGGTTTCTACAATATGGAACATATAAAGGAGAGAATTCTTTTCTATTTCTATTCTACTGAGTAATCAAAGATTCCAACTGACAGGAAAATAGCTTTCTGTTAATAAGCATTAGCAAATGAGCTAATATTAGTGTAATTTCACAAGTACCTTAAACAATAAGAAAGCTTTCTCTAAGAGAAATAATTTATCCCTTGTCTACACATGTTGTATTTTTAAAGACACTATAATGCTTCAAGTAGTTATTTCAAGACTGGAAGGAAAGATACGTGAAGAAATGACACTCTGACCATCAGAAAGTATTTTAACTCTAGAAGCACTGAGAAAAATAAATTTTGTACAACTGACACACTCTAGGTTCAAAATCAGCTTTAAAAACATACAATTTAGGAGAAAGGCTCAAGGACTTTAGGGAAGTAGATTAACGTGGAGAAGATGTCTAGGTAAATCCAATGAATCCGTTTTTCCCCTTCAATCAAGATGCATGGTAAAATATGAAGCTGATACCACTCTGAATACTAATAGGATATGGATCCAGACAAAGAGAAACAAAGCCATTATATGTGGCCAGTACAGAACATATAAAAGGACTTTGTGTCATTTCATTTCATCCCATCAGTCTTGGGGATGTAATCATCAGAAGTTACTTGTTATAACTGTGTAGTCTTTTTTAGAAAAGATTTATTTATTTTCATTTGAGAGAGAGAGAGAGAAGCAGAGAATCCCAAGCAGACTCCCTGGTGAGTGTGGAGCCTGATGTGGGGCTCGATCCCACGACCCCGAGATCATGACCTGAGCCAAAACCAAGTGTCAGATGCTTAACCAACTGAGCCACCCAGGCGCCCCTATAACTGTGTAGTCTTTACAGAGGGGTGATATGTAAAAATATCAGATTTAAGAGAGTTAGTTTAATAGCAACAATTGTTTAAACACAACTTGGGAGTTGTAGTTAATTGCAAGATCAGTATGAGCCAGTGGTATTATGTGGCTGTCCAAGAAGCTAATGCAATCTGGGGAAGCTGATAGAAATATAAGGCTCACAGCAAAAGAAGCAACAGTCCCAAGCTCCTGTGTGCTGGACTGTACCTACAGTTGTGCTCAGTTTTGGCTCCATCCTTTGCACACCATGAGAGTCCGCACCAGTTTATGTGAAGAATGGCTAAATTAACCTAGGCAAGTTAATTTGGATAAGACTGAGGGGTACACGATATTGTCTTTAAACATCTGAATGGTTATCACGTGGCAGAATTAAAATTGTTCAGTGTGGCTCCAAAAGTCACAATTAGCACCACTGGGTGGAAGTGATAAGAAGACAGATTTCTGTTCAAGGTGAAGATGAATGTTTCAGAACTCAAGGAGCTTTCTAAAAATGGAAATACAGTCCTGAAACACAGTGAATTCTTCGCTATGTGAAGAATTAAACTAGAGCTCAACCTTTCGCTGGGAATTTTATGAAGGAATGCGATCATTGGTTATAAGACTGGAGATGTTAAGGCCCCCTTGGAATCCTGAGATTCAATGAGTCTATGATTAAATGATGTGCTACTACCTGATCCTATGATTAGTCCTTCCAATCACAGATGGAAGTTTTGAATTAGGAAAAGAACATCAGTTTTTAAAACTATACTCAACTTGCAATTTTTCATATTATTGGAAATGATTAGCTTGAAGAGAATGCAAAATTAGAAGAAAATCTAGACATAATTTAATTTTAGAGGGCAATGTGATGAAATAACAATTTAAAGAATACAACTATGACTCCTGGCTCATTTTTCAGAAGATGGTCTATGTTAATGCTGCTTTGATGTTTAGGAATAGTCTATTAAATTAAATATCCTGTGTAATGGATTATTGTTTTGATATTTATCATTTGTCAGGTATTTGAACTTAATATAAGTATTCATGGAAGATGACAGGTTCAAAAAGGTTCTGCTGGTATATTTCATATTTTTCCTCTTTGTGAAGGCTGGCAGTATCTGGAGATGGAAAATCGAAGGCATTGACTAGAAGACCGATAAACTGTAGACTGAAGAACTAAGTCATTTGCAAAGCTAAGGAAGAGAACTAAAAACAGGGTAGCATTCTGAGCTGGAGTCTATTGAAGGGAATACATAAAAACCCAAATTCCTGAATCTGGAATTAGCATCCACCTCTGCATGCCACTGGAGAAAATTTCTATTTTTAAATTTTATACTTTCTTTTTTCCTGGCATGGGAATTTTCTAATTACGTTTTGCTTTGGCTAATAATAAAAATCAGTCTGCATTTACATCTGCTTGCTCTTCCCAAATACACAGATTGATGGCTTGAGCAGGACTCTTTCACAAATAAAAAGAGGAAAACAATATGAAATTAAACATTAGCCACTAATGTAAACCTGAAAGTGGTTAATCTACATGCTTTAGAATGGACTTCGTTTGGCCAGTTCAACTTTATTTATTTATTTTTAAGTAAGCTCTATGCCCAATGTGGGGCTTGAACTCACAACCCCAAGATCAAGAGTCGTGTACTTCACTGACTGAGCCAGCCAGGTGTCCCTGGCCAGTTCAACTTTAGAAGTCACTTTTCCCCAGATAACACCTTCTTCCATCACTGTTTTAATCTCTGTACGCAGGGTCACTTCTCTGCCGAGTGGTGGAAATACAAAGAGTAAAAGCACAGAGTCTATTCTTAAGGTACTAAAATTCTAGTTATAACTACAGTTATTAAATTCAAAACTATGATAGACTTTCTTGGGGGTGGGGTGGGGGGTGGAATGGGTATGAAACACTGAGGATGAGCTAATATTTAGTTTGAAAGTTTTACACCAGGCTGAAAGTGACCAGGTCTTGAAGGAAATTTTTAAAAAAGTGTTCTTACCTCCAGCTACAAGTCCAGACTCCCCTAATTGAATAGCTACCCCAAAGCCCCCAAGTTTAACAGGTGCCGAGTTTTCCTTTGAGGCGAGGAGAACACAGTGGGGCTGGAAAGAAAAACAGACAAACAACAAACCAAAGGATTAATTGGAGATGAGCAATTCAACTTACACAAAACTGAGTAACATGACTGTATAGTAATACATTAAAAACTCCTGGAATTATTTTGGATGTTTGAATTATTTGTGCTATTCTCACTTCTGGTTGATTTCTCCAAAGACTTACCTGTTTTATCAAACGTTTTTCAGGGATTATTTGCTTCTAAGATTAGGGTAGGTGCTAAGAATTACTCAGGAAGCAAGCATGTTCAAGTATGGCAGATGTATTTTCTACCTTTTCATGCAATATTCTTCTTTTTCTGATAGCCTACATTTAAGGAAAAATATTTTTTACACCTCTTGCCAAAATGTTTCTTGAAACCCCTGACTTTACCTACAGAGCCACTGTATCGTAGTCCTTAGAGGATGCTAATGGCTCTTTCTTTGTCCACCCTCCTACCATCCTCTTGCTTTACTTTATTCATTCCATCCCCAGGTAAGGAGAGCCAGATTTAATGACTTTAATTGAACCCGGCTCCCAGGGAATTCAATGTTCTCCCTGGGCATGTCTTTTCTCTGGACCTGCCCTTCCTCTTTGTGGGAATGGGAAGGGAGAGAGGAGATGACTTGGCTGGCCTCTGGTCCAGGGCAAAGACATCCTTCCCAAGGAGTAGCTGTGTGACCAGGGCTCCCTAAGAATCATATGCTTCGTGGTCACAGTGAGAGTTTCTCTGTAGGTCCTGGTCTCAGGAAAGCATTTAACTGTGTGGACCTTTGGTCTCCGTTCAAATACTATGTTCCGCAATATGACTGATGTCACATATGACCTGCTTTCAAAATATGGGTTATGAAAAAAAAGCAAGCTTCTTCAGGCATGGAAGAGAAAAGTATTTTTGTTCTTTCCCATACTTGCTCATTTATAACATGACACAGTTTTAGCTCAGTTTAGCCTATATGATAGTGGTCCCCCAAAATCCTGTGCAATAAAAGTCTGAACTGGTGCACCCAGAGAGATGTTTGACAATGATACAGAAAAGTGGGAGGGATCCTTACTCTGCTCAATGAAAGCATCAGGGTTTGGAAGTTACTTTTTGTCCAAAGACATTTAAAGACCTTATAATAGACGCTCTAACACAAAGAAAGATGAGCCCTTAAATATAAATGTGTGTATGAGAGAGAGAGAGAGAGAGAGAGAGGAGAGGGAAGGCAAGTGTACATGAATGGTGAGTGTGCTGCAGCAAGACACAAAGTAGCCAGGAGGGTTTATGGGAGAGCAAGCAAAGCTCTGCAGAAACCAACCAATAAAGACTGCTCTTCATAAGAACTTTCGGTTGGTTTCAATAGAGACGGATGACAACAGACCAGAAGAAGTGATAGCCCTAGCATGAGTCTAGTGTGGGGTGCAATAAATGAACAAACCTAGAAAAGGAGGGGCATGATGCAGAAGAAGAAACTATAAACTAAACCTAGACAGGGTCTCCTGGCCAGTTCTATCACCTTATTAAGGAGAAGTAGAAACTTAAAACAGAATCCCAAAGTATACCCTTTATAGTTTGTTGACTATATTTATTCTTAAGTTAATGTTACACTAAGATTTATGTAATTCTCATCAGAGTGTGGATTCTGTCATTCTCAATAAATCCTCAAGTCATAAAATTGGAAGACAGAAACAAAGGAAACCAATACATATAAATGAATATAAGAGACTGGGTAGTGTTAAGTGCATTAGGTAAAAGCTGGTGGAGGTCAATGTTATAGCTTTGGAGACTAGGGAGCTGCTATTTAGTGAGGGGGTTGGGTCAGAGAAGGCTTCTCTAATAGGGTAATATCTGAGCCCAGACCAGAATGAAGGGGCAGAATGGGTCATGTGGAAGCAGGTTCCAGGAGGGCGGAATAGGATAGTAAGTACAAAGACCTAGAAGCACGAGGAGGGTTGGTATGTTTGGAGAAGAGTAAGGAAGCCAGTGTGTTGGGGGAAAAAATGAGCAAGGGGAAGAGTGGTAGGAAATGTGATCCAAATGGTCAAAGGCTATATGGTCTGGGGCTTGGAGCCATGGCCAGAACCCTGGGTTTTATGCTGAGTGAGATGGAAAACCATTAGAAAGTTGTGAGCAGGGGAGCATTATGAGCAGTTTCAGGTTTTGAAAGAATCACTTGGGCTGTTGTATGGAGAAGAGATTGCAAGGGCATGAGAGTGGAAGAAAAGATACCAGGTAGGAGGCTTCTGTGGTTCTCCAGGCAAGAGAAGATGGGGATTTGAATTACAGAGTGACAGAAGCAGTGATGGCAAGAAGTGGTCAAATTCAGGATATGTTCTAAAGGTTAGGCTGACAGGCACTGCTGCTGGATATGGGATGTGAGAGAAAGAGGTAAGTATGACAACTTAAGTTTCTGTTCTGAGCAACTAAATGAAAATGAAGATGCCATTTACTAAAACTGGGAACACAGAAGGAAGAGTTTATAAGAGGGATCGAGAATTTGGTTTTGTACAAATTGAGTGTGAGATCTTCAAAGATGGGAGAGGGAAGGCCGGAATTAGAGATATAAATTTGGGATGAAAAGCACACAGTGTTTTTGTTTTTTGTTTTTTTTTTTTAAGATTTTATTTATTTATTTGACACAGGGAGACACACCAAGAGAGGGCACACAAGCAGGGGGAGTGGGAGAGGGAGAAGCAGGCTCCGCATGGAGCAGGGAGCCCGATGTGGGCCTCGATCCCAGGACCCTGGGATCATGACCTGAGCCAAAGGCAGATGCTTAACGACTGAGCCACCCAGGCACTCCGCACACAGTGTTTATAGCCCTCGGACTGCCAGTAGGAAAGAGAAGGGGGTGGGGCGCCTGGGTGGCTCAGATGGTTAAGCGTCTGCCTTTGGCTCAGGTCATGATCTCTAGGTCCTGGGATTGAGCCCCAGGTCATGCTCCTGGCTCAGTGGGGAGTCTGCTTCTGCTTCTCCCTCTCCCTCTGCCTCTCTCCCCTGCTCATTCTTTCTCTCTCTCTCTGTCTCAAATGAATAAATTTTAAAAATCTTAAAAAAAGAGAGAGAGAAGAGAAGAGGTCGGAGGAATGAGATTTGGTGCACAGCAATGTTTGAGGTCAGGAAGATGACAATAATCTAGCAAAGGAAAGAGAATGCCTAGACACTGAAGCAGGCAGGAAATCGGAGCAGTATGGTGTCCTGAAATGCTAGTGAGAGGCCATTTAAGATGAGAGCTGAGAACAGACCATTAGATCTGGCAACCTGGAAGTCCCTGGTGACCTGGATAAGAGGGGTTTTGGTGGGATGATATAGACAAAAATCTCCACTGGATTAGGTTCAAGAAAAATGGGAAGAGATGATGTGGAGATAGTAAATTCAGGTATCTTTCAAAACCTTACCGTACTAGGAACAGAGAGATGGGAATGGAATGTAGCTAAAAGAGAATGAGAAGCCAAGGAAGTTTCCTTTTAAAAACATTTTAGTATTTGCCATTAGAGAAAGCAGATTATTAAACCTCCATGTACCTTTTTAAAAAGATTTTATTTATTTGAGAGAGAGAGAGAGAGAGTGAGAGAGTGTGTGTGCTCAGGCAGGGGGAGCAGCAGCAGAGGGAGAGGGAGAAGCAGGCTTCCCGCTGAGTAGAGAGTCCAACGCGGGGCTCGATCTCAGAACCCTGGGATCATGACCTGAGCCGAAGGCAGCTGCTTAACCAACTGGGCCATCCAGGTGCCCCCACCCCCATCTCCCAGCTTTAACAGTTATTGACATTCTGCTATTCTTGCTTCACCTATCCCCATTGTTTTTGTTGAAGTCTTTCTTTTTTTTAAAAAAGATTTTATTTATTTGAGAGAGAGAATGAGAGAGAGAGCATGAGAGGGGGGAGGGTCAGAGGGAGAAGCAGACTCCCCACTGAGCAGGGAGCCCGATGGGGGACTCGATCCCGGGACTCCAGGATCATGACCTGAGCCGAAGGCAGTCGCTTAACCAACTGAGCCACCCA